TATGGAAGGCTATGCTATGCTATGCTGCGCTGTGCTATGCTAAGCTGTGGCTAAGCTAAGCTATGCTACGCTATTCTATGATGTGCTGCGCAATGCTATGCTATGCTATGCTATGCTGCGCTATGCTATGCTGCGCTATGCTATGCTATGATATGACATGATATGACATGCTATGCTATGCTAATACTGCGCTGCGCTGCGCTAAGCTTCGCTATGCTATGCTATGCTAATGCTGCGCTGCTATACTATGTTATGCTGTGCTAGTGCTATGCTAAGCTGAGATAAGCTAAGCTAAGCTAGGCTAGGCTAGGCTAAACTAAGCTAAGCTAAGCTAGGCTAGACTAAGCTAAGCTAAGATAAGCTAAGTTAAGCTATGTTAAGCTAGACTAAGCTAATATGAGATAAGCAACGCTAAGCTAAGGGGACGTAACTGGGGGAACCGCGGGGCGGATGCCGGGGGAACCGCCCGGGGCGAGTTACACTGCCCGGCCCCTTGAAGAAAGAGGGTAAGAACCCTTCTAGGCAGAGCCTAGCCAGGGAATAAACCTGAGCTAAGATGAACCTAAGCTAAGCTAAGATGAAATAAGCTAAGCTAAGATGAGATAAACAACGCTAAGCTAAGGGGACGTAACTGGGGGAACCGCGGGGCGGATGCCGGGGGAACCGCCTGGGGCGGGTAGCACTGCCCGGCCCCTTTAAGCTCTAAAGTAAGAACCCTTCTAGTCAGAGCCTAAGTGGGGGAACAAAAACAATAACAACAAGAAACCCGCTGTTCTTTCATATGGAACATATAAAATGAAATAAGGAACGCTCGTGCCAGCGTTGTTTTAATCGCTTTGCAAAGAAAAATGCGAGCAACCACAGGTGTTCCTTTTGTCTTCCTATTTTCGATCAGCGCAAGTTGTTCTTGATTGATCCCCACCATCCTGTGGTGTTGGGCCCCGTTTTGAAGAGACAACGCCCCGCGTCTCCTCCTCTCCTCTCCTCCTCCTCCTCCTCCTCCTCCTCCCCCGCATCCCTCCTCCACCTCCTGGCCCCTGCCCTCCGCATGTTTCTGTTTCGGCACACCCAGTATAGCGCGTCGTGGCCCCATAGGGAACTCCACCGAAGGCCCCAGTGCCAGGGCCTGCCTACCGCCACCTCGCCATTTCGAAACACCCCTCACACGTTTCGTGGCCCCACAGGGAGCTCCACCGAAGGCCCCAGTGGCAAGGCCCGCATGTCGCCACATCGCAGTGTCGGAACACCCGTCGCACGTTTTGTAGCGCCATAAGGAGCTCCACCGAAGGCCCCATTGGCAAGGCCCGCAGGCCGCCACCCTGCAATTTCGGCACACCCGTCACACGTTTCGTGAGCTCCATCGACGGCCTCAGTGGCTGCGTGCGTTTGCATGCGGTTCCATCCCCCATTCCGGCAAACCCCTCACGCGTTCTGTGGCCCCACATGGTGCTCCACCTGGGGCCCCAGTGGCAGCGCCCACAAGGGGTTCCACCCCACATTTTGGCGCACCCCTCGCACGCTTCGTGGCCCCATAGGGAGCTCCACCAGCATCCCCCGTGGAAAAGGCCGCCTGCCGCCAACGGGCCTCTTCGACACGCTCGTCAAACGCTTCGTGGCCACATAGGACGATCCAGCGAAGATGGTGCTCACAATTGCGGTACGTTTCACTGTTTCTTGTTGACTTGTTTTTTTTCGCTAGGCTAATTCATGTTTGTTTTCCCCTTTGCTTTCCTGGTAAGCTTTCGCGGCATCACGGCACTGTCTTTGGAAATCCACCACTATCAAAATCTGTCTGCGGATGAATTACATGTTGATTTCACTTGTGGGGGCTTACACATTGAACTTGATTGCGGGGCTTTTCAAATGGATGTTTTAAATTGAGGGGTTTTCAAGCTGATTTTGTTAGGCACTGTCGTGCACGGCAAGGTCACAAGTTAACTTCAAGCGGCGGCTTCATCTCTTACGAATGATACACGGATGAACACATGAAGGAACACACATGGTTACAATCATACAAACAGAGGGTCGCACGCCCCCCCTTCCAGTGACGGCTGTCATCGCTAGAAGCTTGAATATCCGGGCGAAAAACCCAGACACGTGAACCTGTGAGCATCGCGAGGCAGGTGAGCCGAAGGACGAGGACAAACAGATTGCGCGCAGCGCGGCATACGTCCCCCTCCTCGCAAGCAGCGCGCCGCAAAAAAAATGGAACCAGGGCCCCCCGAATTCGGCCCCCCCCCGTGGAAACCCGAAACATATAAAGGGGCGTGCCGAGATGTGCGGGGCGACGGCCACGACGCCGGTGAGGGGTGGGCCGGCACTGGCCGGGTCCGCCATGCGAGTCTTGCAGCTGGGGCGTTCGGTGCAGCGGCCAGAGGGGCCACGAAACGAGTGTGAGCGGTACGCCAAAACGGAGCGGTGCCGCCGTGCGAACACTTCCACTAGGGCCCATGGGGCCACGAAGCGTCTGAGGGGCACGCCGAAAGTCGCGGGGCTGCATGCGAGCGCTGTCACAGGGGCCCTCGGTGGTGCTAGTGATGATTCATGGACGCATGGCTAAGACAAAAAACGCCTGCGTGGACAGGATTGGACCTTGCGCTGGACGGCGGCGAGCGTTGCACCACCCCGCCGCGTGCCGCAGCACCTGCGAGTGGGACGGGAACGACCTGTCCCAGGCACTACGGGGCCGAAAAGGAACGAGCACTATATGTCGGGGACGGTTACCCTGATAATGGTGACCCACAGAACGCCGTCACCCAACAAAGGAGGGACCGCAAGCGTGAACGCCGCGAAGCTGTCGCCCACGAGCACGAACTCCATGAAACTGCCGCCCACGAGAAGCTGCCGCCCGCAGGCGCAAAGACCACGAATCAGATGCCCACGAGCGCGAGCACCGCGAAGACGCTCACGAGCGCCTACGCCACAGAGCTGCCGCCCACAAACGTGATCAACACGAAGCTGTCGCCCACTTGCAAGCCACGATGCTGCCGCTCTCGCGCGTGACTCCCACGTTACTGCCGCCCACGGGAATGAGCGCCACGAAGCTCTTGCCCACGAGCGCGAACACCACGAATCTGTCGCCACGAGCGCGGGACACAACGAAGCTGCCGCCCACGAGAATGATCATCACGATGCTGCCGCCCACGAGATTGAACGCCACGAAACTGCCGCCAACGGGAGTGAACGTCACGAAATTGCCGCCTACGAGTGTGAACGCCACGAAGCTGCTGCCCACGAGTGCGGCAGACACGAAGTTGGCCACGAAGCTTAAGCCATCGGGCGTGAACGCTACGAAGCTGATGCTCACGAGCGTGAACGCCACAGGACTTGAGCAGGCTTGAACGACCATGATCTCAACGAAGCTGCCGCCCACGAGCATGAACACCTCGAATCTGCAACCCACGAGCATGAAGACCACGAAACTGCCGCCCACAATCTCCGTGATGAAGCCGCCCACAAGCGAGAAGACGATGGGCTTGTTTCCAGCGCGCGGGGTGACCACAACGTTTGTGCTTCCAGCGGGGAGGGGCAAAATGCACCAATGAGCATTGATACCGTGAAGCCATCAAGAACCCAAATAGTGCGATGAAGATGTGCAGCATTCCACGCTGTCCAGACACGCCCTCGACAGAGCGACTGGGGGCCTGATGCTGAACACCATTCAGAAGAAACTTATGATGAATAGTACGAATGCACAAATATGACTAAGACACATACTAAGGAGAAAGAAGAAAGTGGGTGCGCGACGCTGCGACGGCGCAGCAGTGGTTTCCCCACGACCTGGCAGCAGCCACACTGAACCTGCAGCAAGAAGGAGACAGTGTAGTGGCTACGAGTTGACAGGCCGAGCGCATACTCCAGATTTCGTAATAAAAGGGAGGGGGTCTGGAACCTCCAAGACAAGCCATTTCAGACCCCCCCCGTGGGAGAACCCTCCAAAACATCGTCCCCAGACCCCCCCAGGCCCTCCAAGATAGCCTGGAAGAGACCCCCCCCCAAATGAGACCCCCCTCCCTTTATTACGAAATCTAGAGTACAGTGCATGGCGCCGATTCCGCCAGCGTGCGAGGGACACCTGGATGCTGGCGGAGAATACGCGGGCGGGAACCCCTGCACCGCCGCTGCCAAAGAGCCGGATCGGGTGCAGGATGCTGATGGTTCATGGTCGCATGGCAGTCGAAAGAAAAGTCCAAGTCTACGTGGACACAGGCGGGGAGTCGACCAGCCTGCACCTCGCAATGCACTGCGGCGAGTGATGCCGCACCCCGCCGCGTGCCGCCTGCCCCAGGCAGGTGCGGCCTGTCCCAGGCACTGGGGACCCGAGGAGGAACGAACACGACATGTCGTGGACGGATACCCTGCTAATGATGATGCTGATGATGATGGGTAATGATGAAATTGTTGATAGGTGATGATGATTATGATACTGATTAGATGGTGATGATGATGGGTGGTGATGAAGATGATGCTGCTGATGAGGATGATAATGATGATAATAATGCTAACGATTATGATGGGGATACTGTAGGTGATGACGATGGTGATAAGGATGATATTGATTAAAATATTGATGGGGGAGGAGGAGAGAGGCGGCGGGAGACGCGGGTCGGTCAGGACTCAGAACGAGGACCTAACACCAAATAATGTTGGTGGGGTAACAGGGATGTTGCTGGAGACAAGTGCGTCGATGTCAGGTGGCGGTGCCAAGCGAACCCTCCGGCGGTCGATGCACTTATCGTGCACCGCAACGGCTCGGTCGGGGTCAGCAGCGGCAGCAACGGCAGTGGTGAGGACCAGTACGGTTCATGATGCCACTACGGCACAAGGCGTATTCGCATGTGCAGCCCGTACTACGAGAACGGCAGAGCAGTGCCACAGGAGGAGGACAGGCCAGAGGACTGATCAGAAGGAAAGGCAAGGTGACAACAGCAACCAGATGGTCACAAGCTGCACGCAGGACGACCCGAACATAGAACTCGATGGGTGGAAGATGAGCAGGCCTGCTGCCTGCAGCTGAAGAATCTATCTGGGAGACCCTCCCCGAAGAACACGATGTCCTCACCCACCCGATCGCGCCGTCTTCTGCTCGCAATCTGCCTCCCGCTAATCCGTCCGCCTCTTCCTCGTCCTTCTCGCCCTCATCCTCTCCATCCTCCTTTGCCCCCCACGACTCCTCCCAAATCCTGCCGTTCCCCTCTTCACAATCCACCACGTCTTCTGTTCATTGGCTTCCTCATTTCCTGCCTCCCTTGACTCATCCCTTCCCCAATCCCCTCGTTGTACATTGCCATTTTCCTCGTCGCTGTCTTCACAAGCTCAGTACGCGTGCTCATCGCCTGAAATCACGCTGGAGACAGTCGACGCCTGCAAATGTACTTCAGACCATTGTTTCCTAAACATAGCCCTCACCGTTGGTTCCCCCCCACCGCCTCCTCCCCTTTCATCATCAATGTCATGATCCTCTCCCTCGTCCACCTTAGTCAACGACCCTGGCGCGATCCCTATTATCGATGGTCTTTCATCCCACAGTCATGCGGCACGAGGGGGCAATACGAAGCAGACGATATCATACTATTACACATTGGTAAAACGTAGTGCAATGTAAACCATACCAACGCCCAGCCCAGCAATGAACTGTAAGTACACAAAGTAGTAAAAGCATGGAGCCAGAGCAACGCAATGCAATGGGAGTCAACGTGATGGAAAACCCCGTAAAGTCAACTTCATGGAAACCATCGCAGAGCAATAGCAAGCGATACAAACATCAAACCAATGCAGAATTGTGAATTTGGTAGAAAGGGATGCGCAATGACATAAGATGCAGAACGATGCAATGCTATGCGATTCAAACCAGCACATCACAAGGAAATAGAGGACCCCCTGAAAACTACCCGTCGAACCTGAGGACCTCCCCCCAAAACCACGAGGAACCTCCGACGAACCCCGAGGAACCCCAGCCGGGCCTAGCGGGAGGCGAGCCGATGGTTACCAGTCCACAATCAAATCCTCAACTATTGGGGAAAACATTCGGCGAACTACCACGACACAATCTGTTCACCATAACCTGGGCTACTGCCTCGTGGCATTTTTGCTGCTACTGTCGCAACCTAGCAATAGCAGACGGATTCGTGACTCATCAATTGCATGGTACTCGTGCAAAGCCGTGCAGCCGCTATACGAAAACCTTGCCCTGAGGGATAGCCATGGCGCTACCTCCGAGCTCACATGGAAGAAGCATGGCGCAAATTCCCCACCCTCTGGGTGAGAGCGCCAACGGCTCCCACCCAGTGGCACAAGAGTCGGAACGGAATGGGGCGCTGCAACAGATCTGCCAGATGGGCCAGTGGCTCAATGGAGAGGCACAAGCGCTGAAGGAGGTTGGAGGGGTGTTGGGGGGCGAGGCAGAAGCCAAGAAAAACATGCGGGACGCTAGCTTGAGAGGAGAAACGTATGAAGGAAACACTCTGAAACTAACTGAGCGCGGTTATCTTCGCGCGCTCTCGGGATGCCCAAATAAATGCCTATCCACAGCGCACCTGGGAACCAACGTCAACGACAAACACACATGAGAACACATGGGAGACACAAACCGCTATCGCAGCCGATCGCGTGAACGAGAATACTCGCATGCGAAACTGCGCAATCTACCCCATCTACGTCTACCGCAGCCATCGCGCGCGCGTTTCGCGCTCGCTTAATTCATCCATGTCGTGGAGCCTCGCGCATATGACGCAACTCAGGAGCATCCCCGTGCCGCCAGAAACCCATAGTTTGAGCCTGGCGAGACCATATTGAAGCGCGCTGTCTCCACGAGGATGGTGTGGGGAAGGAAGAGCTCCATGTTCCAAAACGCTCGTTTCAGAACGTACTGCTGCTGGGCAGGAGCGGAAACGTTTTCCCCCCATCATGGAACCTGTGTTGGGGCCACATTTGGGCTCTGGTGAGGCAGCTCGAGCCCACCTCTGGCCGTGGGAACCTCTGAGATTATCTGGTGAGTGAGAAGGCTGGAGGTTCACGCACGACAGGGAGAGAGAAAGAACACGATCATGGACAAGAGCAAGGGGACGAAGGCGTCGATACGAGGCACGTGTTCGAGAAGTGCACCAGCCTGTCACTTTCGGCGGAGGATAAGCCTCCTTCTAGTAAACCTCCCTTTCGTGAAAACGGCCTGGGACCAAAACCGACGGACCTGGACCCGCAAACATGACGGCCGCGACGCCCTCTCGCGAACGGAAAACGGCCGATTCGCTAATCGACGCGTCAGGGTAGGAGGTCCATCAACCTCCGACACTTGTGCGAGATGCGACGGGGGCGAGATCCGACCAGCCATAACTGGGGGAGCTGTGGTCCTTACCCCCCCTGGGGGAACCCATCGCGTCGACGATCTCTCGAGAGGGGTGTCGAAATCGATGGGTCCCCCACGGGGGTAAGGACCACAGCTCCCCCAATTGTGGCTGGCCTGGAGATGCTCGCCGTCGCACCAAGACGAACGCTGAACAAGGGACGGGAGGGGCCCTGCCGGCCATGGCGGGCCTCTCGGCCGCGGATGGGCTCCCCGACCCCGATCTGAGGCACGGCCCAGGCATAAAACTCGGCGGTGGACAAACCTTCCTTTAGTAGACCTCCCCTTAGTGAAAACTGCCTTAATCGACGTGTCAGGGTAATTCAGAGGTCTGTCCACCCCCGACAAAGCCCCTCCTGAACCCAGCGTGGCCCTTGCCATCGCTCGGACGTCCATTCCCTCTCTGCATTTTTCGGTTTCGTGCGTGTTTCTGCTTGCTCGATGATCCAGGAGGTTCCTCCAGGGTCCTCGCCGAGAAAAAAAAATGCACACGTCCGAGCGATGCCGGGGGTCCTCATTTCAGCGGCTTGACTTTACTGCTCGGGATGGCCCACCCCAGGCCGTGCGGCCTCGGGGGGTGCCAGTGCGCAGCGGCGCGTGCCGAATGAGTGGGAGCCACAGGGATTGCTATGAAGAGCAAGCGGAGGCAGAGAAGGAGAGAGAGAGAGAGAGAGAGAGAGAAGGAGAGAGAGAAGGAGAGAGAGAGAGAGAGAGAGAGAAAAGAAAAGAGTGTGAAAAGAGACCTACATACAGAAACGCAAAGGGGTGTCTTGTAGCCTCGAGGGGGGGGCCTGCAAGCATTCTCCCGGAGGCATCCGGAAGACCTACATGGGGGCCTCCGGGGGCCGTGGTCCGTGCTGGCAAAGATACGCCGCGGAGCCGCCTCGGTGCCGCCGTGGGCGGTGCCTCCTCGAACTCCTCTCCCCAACCATCCTGTGGTGCTGGGCCCACGACTCGAAGAGACTGCGGCCCGCATCTCCTTCCTCATTCATTCATTCATGCCAGCGGAAGCGCGCGTCCATGCCGCGCGCCCCAAACACCCCGCGGCCCGACAACATGCGGCCCGCTCACACCCTGGAGGTCCGCATCTCCTTCCTCCCGCTGCCCTGCCCTCCTCGTCCTTCTCCCGCTCCTCCCGCCCCTTGCACCCCTCACGCGTTCCATGGCCCCAAAGGGAGCTCCATCGAAGGCCCCAGTGGCAGCGCCCGCATGCAGTTCCACATCCATGTCGGGGCACCCCTCACACGTTTAGCGCCCGCATGCAGTTTCACCCTTCATTTCGGTGCACCCCTCACACGCTTCGTGGTTTCATAGGGAGCCCCACGTAAAGCCCCAGTGGCCGCGCCGGCATGCAGTTCCACCCCAATGCCGTTTCACCCCTCACACGTTCCGTGGCCCCATAGGGAGCTCCACCGAAGGCCCCAACGGCAGCTCCCGCATGCAGTTCCAGTCTCCATTTCTACACACCTCTCACACGTTTCATGGCCCCAGAAGGAGCTCCACCGAAGGCCCTAGTGGCAGCGCTCGCACGCAGTTCCAGCATCATTTCGGAGCAACCCTTTACACGGTTCGTGGCCCCATAGGGAGCTCCACAGAAGGCCCCAATGGCAGCGCCCGCAGGCGGTTCCACCTCCATTTCCCATCGCACGCTTTACGGCCCCGTAGGCCCGAGCTCCACCGAAGGCCCGAGTGGCAGCGCCCGCATGCAGTTCCACCAGTATGTCCGAGCAACCCTTTACACGGTTCATGGCCCCATGGGGAGCTCCACCGAAGGCCCCAACGGCAGCGCCCGCAGGCGGTTCCACCACACATTCCGGTGCGTCCCCAGCACGCTCCGTGCTTCGCGGCCCCAGGAGGAGATCCACCGACGGCGATACTCGCAACGACGGTGCCCACTATGGCATGTGTGGTTGGGCCCTTCGCCGAGCAGATTCGCCTGCGGGGCCCGCTCGCGGGGCCCTCAGGAGGAGTGCCCTTTCGGGGCGTCTCGGCTGCCGCCCGCTGCGTCCCAGCAGACGCGCGGAGGGATCCCCGAAGGCTGTCGGACGGGCACGGTGGACGGCAACGACCAACACACGCATCTGAGCACACGTCGTTCACTTCTAGTCGTGCTCGTTTCTAATTGTGCTCGTTTCTGATTGTTCCTGACCGCCTGGTGGCCAGGAAGAGGCCCAGGACAGAACAATTAGAAATGAGAGGACCTTGGCACCCCAGAAAAAACAAACAACTCTCGAAGAATTAGAAGTGAACGGTGTGCATGCCCAACGTCCTTGAGATCTCATGGGCGCGGGCGCAGCCTGGAGGCCTCCCAGCCTGCCCCGAAGACCGCGTGCTGGGGAGCAGGGTAAAGCTGCCCGGCAAAGATCCTGGGCCTCGCGCGGGGCACGGAGGGGGCGTGGGCTCGTACAGCCGGCCTTGATTGGAGAGGACACGCGAGAGGACACAGGACCCTTCCGAGGGCCGCATTGCCATAGGAGTGTAGGGAGGCACGTGTCGCGAGGCACAGGACACAAGGGTGCCCTTGAGCTGGCAGGGTCGACCTGCCACTCCGGGCCGACTGTAAGCAGCCCGCGGCCACGGGCAAGGTTTCGCTGATGGCCGCCTACGAACCGTCTCGTGCCCTGCGAGCGCGGCCGGAGCAGAGGGCAGCGAGGGCGGAAGGGCCTCCGAGGGTCGCAGCAGCGAGCGCGGCTCGCTGGGCAGCACGCGGGCCCTACGCTCGAGGCGCTGCCCACGCCACCGCGTGCGGCTCGTGGTGGCAGCCGCTGGGCGCAGTGGCCGCAGGCTGGAAGCCGAGCACGGGGCCCGCCTCCGCCTCCGCCACGGCGGCCTCGTGGCGGCCTGCTCCGTCCCCCTGGCAGCTACCGGCCACGGGTCGGGGGGCCCCAGCAAGGGCGGCGCGCGCAGCTCGATCGACCGACCCAGCGTCGAGCGCCCCCCCTCTTTTGTTCCTGCCCTGCTTCGAGCCCCGGGGCCCTCACGGATCGACCTGGCCCGAGAGGTCCCACTCACAGGAACGGTGTGCATCGAGAGCTCCGGCCGCAGTCCAGTCAGAGCACCACAGAAGCTTCGGATGCTGTGGGAGTCGACAATAGTCGTGCCACCCGGCGCACGCGCCTCATCGAGGTCCCCCCGAAGATTGATGCCGAGGCGCCGCCGGCGGCGTCGGCGGCAGCGACGGGGGCGGCCGCCGCGCTGGCCGGAGAGTGGCAGAGTGACGAAGGGGCGCATTCCGGCAGGCCGTTCCGTGGCCTCGTCTGAACCGCCACGCAGAAGGCGGAGCGCAGCAGCGCGTCCACGAGGAAGAGGCACCCCTGGGCGTCCAGGTGCATGACGCCCTCGGGGTCGAAGAGAGCGTATGCCCCGGACACCTGGCTCTGGGTGGGCGGGATGAAGCCGTGCTCCTGGAACACCGCAGCTACCAAGTCCAAAATACGACCGTCTCCCCATGGCAACACGCCCCGGCGTTCAACGTCCCGTGCTGTGTAGGCTCGCAGCGCACTGCGCATGGTATCGCCGCTCTCGATCGCCCGGATAGCTTCCACGCGCTTTGCTGCATTTGCGATCGCGACTGGAACCAGGGAGACTGCCAGTTCGGCAAAGACCACCAGAACCCTGCCAGCATACTTCAGGCTCGCCGTCCCGCAGACTGCTGGCGCGGAGTAGTCTGCCACCCAGTGCTCCAACAGTCCCACCAAGTCGACCACCTGCTGGCCACGGTCTGGTGACGGGGGCTCCTCCACCGGCGATGTCACACAGGAGCTGGGGCGCTCCAGCACTGGTTCCGCTGCAGGCCCGCCCGCCCCGCTCGCTGCAGGCGCGAATGCGCAGCGGAAGAGAGCGTCGGCCAGGTCGACACACTCGCCAGCATCCAGGTGACCACGCTGGCCAGAGTCGAACCTCTCGAAGAGCGCCGCCGCCTGCTCCGCCTCTGGCGGCACCAGGCCCAGTCTCTCGAAGAGCCTTTCCACGAAGCCGAGGATCTCCCCGCCACGCCAGGACAGGGCCCCAGCGAGACCATGGTCGCACTCCCAGTAGACCTGCTGAGCCAGCCTCAAGATCCTGCCGTCCTCGATCATAGGAGCTATCCTGGGGGCGAACCCCGCGTTGGCTGCAGCGAATGGCCGCATCACCCCTGCAAGCTCCGAGGGCTCCAAGACTGCCCCACTGGCATACGAGATGCCGGGGCTGACAAGGCCGGCTGCCAGAGGAGCGCCCGTCTCGGGGCTGGCTGGCGCCGGCGCGACGGGGGCCGCCCCGAGGTCGCCATGGTCCTCGGCCCGCTGGGCCTCTTTGCTGCCCGGCCAATGGTCGCGCTTTCTGGTCTCGCTCTCCACTCTCGGCGTTGAGCCCTCCGCGGGAGTGGCGGGGTGGGCACTCGCGGTGCAGGGGACGGGGGGCTTGGCGCAGGTCAGCCTGCGCTCTCGGGGAGCCGCGGCGCACGCCGGGGGGCCGTGGCTCTCCGGGTGCGCGGGCGGCCACCCCGCCGCGGGTCCCGGCGCCGCGGCCGTCGACGCGCTCGAGGGCGGCTCTCCCACTGGCCTCTCCGTGGCGGTCGCGATGGGCGCCTCCACGGTGGAGGCCACGGCGCGTACGGCATCCTGCTCCTCGGCGCGCTGAGCACTCTCGACGCGCAGGGTGCGGGCCGCCTCCTCGCGGGCTCGGCGTTCCGCCTCGCGCACGCGCCGCTCCGCCTCCTCCTGCGCGAGGCGGTCCGCCTGCCACGCCATGCCCTCGGCGTGCTCCAGCAGCCGCGCGTGCTCTCGCACCATGGCGTCGATGTCGTCTCCGGCCCTGAGCATGGCCTCCATGCCAGTGGCGGGGTCGCGCCCGTGCCACCGCGGCGACTCCGCGCACACCCGCGCCTCGGCCGAGCCAGCGGGCTGGTGGAAGACGGCGCGAGCGAGAGCGTCCAGCAGGCAGAGGCACTCCCCCGTGTTCATGGCCCCGCGCCCCTGGTCGAACTTGGCATGCAAGGGAAGGACCTCCTCGGCGCTGGGCGGGCGCAGAGAATAGTGCCGGAACACCTCGATAGCGAACCTGAGGATACCGCCGCCGGCCCAAGACAGATAACCGCTCTGGTCGAGCCCCTTGTAGATCGACAGGGCCGTCCGCATGAACTCGCCGCTCTCGATCGCCTCGACCATGTGCCTGGCGCGGCCGGCGTTCGCCTCTGCCAGGAGCGCGAACGGGCCCGAGAGCTCCGCGAACGACACCACCACCCCCGTCGAGTAGGCCACGCTGGCCGTGCCCTCCACGGGCAGGGCCTGGTAGCTGGCCACCCACTGCTCGGCAAGCTCGGTGGGGTGCGCGCTGGGGCGCTCCCTCGGGCCACGGTCCGCGTACACGTTGCCCTTCTCGACGAGCGCGTTCCACTACTCGCAGAGGAACTACTCGCAAGTGGCCTGGATCCCCCGCGGGGGATCTACGATACATTACATCAAAGCAGACATGTGTTGTTGTTTTCGGACTTTTGCGAGTAGGCACTTTGCGAATAGTGGAACGCTCTCGGCGACCTTCGACTTCTGCGCCGGCACCTCCGGCGCGGGGGCGGCGGACGGGTCCCGGGGCCCAGCTGTGGGGGCGCCTTCGGTGGCCGCAGCGCTCCGTCTCGCTCCGGCAGGCCCTGGCACGGCACCGCCGGCCCCCGCCACCACAGAAGGTCGCGTCTCATCTCCTCCGAGGCCACCAGCCCCTCGTGCATCGGGCTGGCTTGCGACAAGGTCTGCAGCCCTCGCGGCCGCCGCGGCCTGGGAATCACTGCCCGTGGCGGCTCCCTCCTCGCGCGGCGAGGCTGACCCCGCTGGCAGCGCCACCTCCAACGCGAGGCTGGATCGCAACAAAGCATCAGCCAGGCAGAGGCAGTCGCACGCCGGCAGGACCATCTGTCTGCTCTGGTCGAAGAGCGCGTACACGGGGTATATGGCGCCCTCGCTAGGGGCGCTGAGGCCGCACTGCTGGAACACCGCGAACACGAAATCGCGGATCACGCCACGGCCCCAACCCAGACAGCCGGAACGCTCGCTGTCGAATGCCTGGTAGGTCTCGAACGCGAGCCTCATCGAATCGCCGCTCTCGACGGCCGCAATGGTCCTCACGCGCTGTGCCACGTTGGCGCGGGCCACTGGCGCGAGCTGCTGCGCAAAGTCTCCGAACAGCACCGTGGTGCCCCCCGGGTACGCGACGCCCCTGCAGCCCACCAGCGGGGGGGGGCTGTAGCTGGCGACCCACTCCTCGGCCAACGAGAGATGCGATGGCCCTGGGCTCCCAGCGGCCTCCGTCTCCATAGACACGCCCTCGGACACCGGGTACAGCCCAATGCAATCGGACGCGGTCGCGGCCATCTCGGTAGCACGCTGTCGTGAGGCGGCGAAGCGGCCAACGCCCTCAGAAGCGGGCCAACGCCTACAGTGATCGTGGTCGAGCGCTGGTGTCGCCAGCGCGGTCACGAATTGTCGGGAGGCGGTGAGGCTTTCGACGCCCTCAGACGTCGAGCAGATCCTGCCGCGCTCGTGGGCTGCCCCCAGCTCGGCAGAAAGGTGCTGGGAGGCGGTCACGTGAAAGGGCCCCGTAAACGGGGACCCTGACCAACGAGGACGCTGGCGAACCCCAGAGAACTGCAGCAGCGGGTCGAGACATTCTCCAGTATTCGTCCTCTCCCACTGGGTCTGGCAAAATCCTGGTTTGCAAAGTCACCGTCGACGGTGCCCTGAATGTGGCCGTGCAGTGCGTGCTCGGACGGCCGCAAATTCTGCGGCGCGGCCCCGAGCAGCTCCTGCCAAGAGCGTCCGGCCTTGCCCACGCTCAGCTCGGCCTCCGATAGAAACCCGATGGGGGTTCACAACAATCAAAGAGATCCAATAGGTCCGCCACCAAGCTTGCACAGGCTGGTGTGTCGGACCCTTGTATTTGTCTGTCGCCTCCGCTTCTTGCGAAACGATGGTTAATTGGTGCCCCTTCTTAGCAACGAGCCCAACATACGTTCTCCTGTTTGACCAAGTCCCGGCGATGCTGGTCTTCACTTTGGTACTCCCAACAAAACATGTACCAATATTAGTGATCCGCCGCCGCGGTTGCAGCGATTGGTGCGTGTGTGTGTGTGTGTATGTTGTGTGTGTTGTGTGTGTGTGTGTGTGTGTGTGTGTGCGTGTGTGTGTTGTGTGTGTGTGTGTGTGTGTGCGTGTGTGTTGTGTGTGTGTGTGTGTGTGTGTGTGTGTGTGTGTGTGTATGTTGTGTGTGTGTGTGTGCCGAGCCTTTCCTTTTGGTAAGTTAGCCCCCCCTTCCCAAAACCACGAACCCGCGCGCGCCCCTCGTTTCGGGGGTTGCTACAGGTGCCCCTGGCCCAAGGTGCCCCCAGGTTTTCGCTCAATGTTGGGACCTCATGATGGGGTGCTCTGGAAACTGCGGGGGGCCTCCTGAGGACACCTTGGGCCAGGGGCACGTCCAGCAGCACCCGATTGTTGGATAGGTCCCTGCGTTTCGCCTTTCACAACAGAAGACGGCCCCAAGTGCTGACCTAACGGACGCACGGCTCCATAGCAGCGGCCCCCCTCCAGGGCGCATGCCCGCCCCTTCGCCTTTGCTCCCTGATGGCGACAAGCAACATCCGTCGCAAAATGGCGCCACATTGACTCCACGACGGCCGCTGCCCCCCCATCAACGAGATACGGCGGTTTCGACCTCAAGCCCCAACTATTCGTCAACTCTGTCGCGATGGGGTCCCATGAACACCCAATCGGGCAACAAGAGAACTTCCGTACCGCTGACGAAACGCCAGCAAGTTCAAAATCACCTGGCGCTTACTACACGACGCCGCATGAGGTCCCAAACCAGTTCCACAACATCTGATGATGCCCCCGCGACGCCCCCAGGAGGGCCTGTCGAGGGCCCAACAGAGCCCAAGAACCCTCCAACAGGCCCCTCATAGGACCCCAATGGATCCAGGAGACCCCAAACATACTCCCAAGATGTCCACAAGAAACTCCACCCACGAGGCTCCCCAGAAACCGCAGGAAATTCCAAACATTCAGCAGGAGGTGGGAGGTTCTAAGGTACAGAATCTGGCCCCTTGGACACGCAATGAGGCACAAACTGGGCCACGAAATTGCTTGGGCGCCCCGGGTAATTTCGCGTGCGCCACCGGCAACCTCGTGTGATTAATTATTTGCGGCGCGACGGGATGGACACCCCTGGCAGCCCGCCCAACGGTGCGGGCGTTGGACCACGCCCCCTTCTCATCGTTGCTACATGCACACGAACCGTCGGCACTGCGACCATCAACGCTAGTTGCGCTGTGCCCTGTCAACGTCGCCGCCGCGGCAAACGCACTCCAGCTCACAAGCGGCAGCCGACAAACATTGGCGGCCATGAGAATGACGCAGGGGCACGACATTGCCCGCGCGAGATTGACCGCGCGAGATGGCCCAAGAGTTGCCGCCAGGCCAGATATCGATTCCCCGAACGCGGTTGCGAACGCCTTGCGGTGCATGCGAGCGCCTCCGATAACCAGAAACCGCCTGAGACATTCGCGCAACAACTTCGTGCATATTCGCTGGCCCAACGGGCCAGGGGCGTGCTAAGATCTCCGGTGACTGGATAGCAATATTTCAAACTCGCGCGCGCGGGGCGGCCCCTGGGGGACCCCGGACGAAAAGTGCCCTGGCAAGGTCCCGGGAGGAGCCTCCAGAGCGCTCCAAGGGAAGGCCATTTTTCGACACCGCCCACGAGGATCGGGGCCCCCGAGGGGGGAGCCGCAATCGACTGCCCCCCCCCCCGCCCAAGAAACCCCCAACCCCGGGGGCCCCCAAGACGCCGCCAGGGGGCCCCAAGAGCCCCAAGTGGGCTCCAAGAGGCCCCCAAGAGGCCCTGAAGAGGGCCCCGGCGGAATGAGCGAAGCGATTGAATAATTTCGCGCGGATGACTTCGCGCCGCAATTCGTGCTGGAGGTCGCGCGATTCAGAATTAATGTCGCGTTGAATTTCGTACTCGCGTTGCATTTCGTGCCTCATTTCGCGCGCCCAGTGGCGCGTGAGGAGCAATAAGCCTGCGTCGTCATCCTCATCATCACCGGATTGAATGGCGAGACCTTGGTCAGGTGTGCCGTCAGCAACGTCGGATGCCACGATCCGCTTGGGAAAGGAGGGGCGAGCTGGGGGAGCAAAACTGTTTTTCTTTCCTGGTGTTTGACTTAAAATGCAGCTACTCATGGACAGCCTCAGAATCCAGGAAACAGTTTAATTGCATGAAACATGTAGAAAAATGGGTGATGTGAAATATGTCAAAACTAGGCCGCTGCAGTATGTTCTTACACACATAACAAACATATACAAGGCCCCGAATGTAACGGCAGCGGCGGCAGCGACACGACGGCAAAGCGGAGAGAAGGGAAAGCAACTGCAACGATCAGGAGAAAGTGAGTTCCAGTCGGAGAGGTTGCGCGACGTCGCATGGCGAATCGCATTGAAACAAAGGAAGCATAAGGAGGAGGAGGAGGAGGAGGAGGAGGAAAAGGAGGGGAAGGATATGGACGAGGAGGAGGAGAAAAAGGAGGAAGAAGTTGATAGAGGAGGGCGAGGAGGAACATGAGGAGTTGGACGAGGATGATCACGGCGACGAACACGAGGAGGGGTAAAGGGAGGAGGAGAAGGAGGAGGAGGAGGAGAAGGAGGAGGGGGAAGAAAAAAGGAGGGGAATGAGGAGGAGGAGGAGGAGCAGGACGAGGACGAGGAGGAGGAGGATGGGGGTGGACATTTTTCGAGCATCCCCCACGAGTGGAAACCCTGCCGCAGCAGGCTTGCTGCATCCACGAGCACCAGCCCCCACCCCCGCTGATGCGGAAAGGGGTGGAGGCGCTGAGTTGGGCTTGGCGGGGGTCGCTGTGGTCTTATCGCAAGCCCGCCGCAGGCGCCGATTTTGAATCAAAGCAACAATCTGCATTGATATCGCAAGCCCGCAATAGACGCTATTTCTTTATAAGAAGAAAGCGGATACTGTTTGCAAACCTGCCGCGAGCGCCGATTCTGCATTGAAGCCAAAACCGGCATGAAGATGGCAAGCTCGCCGCGGGCGCCGATCTTATGATCAGGAAACGAACTCTGATTGCAAACCCAGGCACCGATTAAAAACTGAAGCCGTAACAAGCATGAAGATGGCAAGCCCGCCGCAAGCGCATATTTTTTTCACCAGAAAGTAAATTCTAGAAAACGAATTCATGGCGCAAGCCCACCACAAGCGCCGATTTCTTTAAAAACGTGGATGAAATGAAGATCGACGCCGATTATTTCAAGAACCATGAAGAAATCACAAGCGCCGCAGGCGCCGGTTTTTGTCTTTCACAGAAAAAGCCTTCTCCCCTCCCACGAGGCCGCGGAGGCCCCCCTATTGGGCGGCGTGGCCGGGGGGGGGGGAGGAAGGAGGGGTGGGGGGGGAGGGGGCGGAGGGGGGAGGAGGAGGGGTGAGGAGGAGGAGGAAGGAGGGGGAGGAGGGGGGGGCGGGAGGAGGGCGGATGGGGGGGGGGAGGGGAGGAGGAGGAGGGGAGGAGGAGGAGGAGGAGGAGGAGGAGGAGGAGGAGGGGGGCGGGCAGAGAAACAGCGAAAACATAACGAACACATCGCAAAAAAATAACGGGGAAAAATGCATCCCCGGGGACTTTTGCGGCGCCTATTTTTATATATTTTCTCGCTATTTTTTTCGGCGGCCGAAACAGGCAATTCCGCGCGCCTTTTTCTTTCGCTATTTTTTCGTTATTTATTATGCAAAAATTAAGGGCCAATATGCAAACGATAGGTTTCGCTGGGAGCACATATTTTTCATAAAAAAAGAAATAAATGTGAAAAATATGTCAGCCGAAGCGTTTGAAAATGTAGAAAAATGAATGAAAAAAAGCAAAACAAAATAGAAACGAAATGATGTGTTCCCCGGGGCCGCCGGCCGGGGCAAGGTGAAACAGCGCGACGCCGCCGGGAATCCTGCGGCGGATTGCTGCCGCCCCGTCCCAAAGAGCCTTGCCCCACCCCCCTCCCGCAAACGCCATTGGGTAGAGAGGCGGGCCGTCCTGGGCGGGGGGGCGGGCGGGGGCGCAACGCCAAACGAAGCGCGCAGCCGCGCGGGTCGCAAACGAAGCGGCGTGACTCTTGTAGCGGGGCCCAACAGTGCATCCCGTCGGCCCTGTCGGCGATCCCTGCTTTCTCAAGCGAATTCCTTGTCGGGGATGGGCGCGACCCTTGTCCCGGACCCCCTTATAGCAGGTCCATCAAAGCGCCCGCGATGGCTCAAACATTGCCCCCGCATGCGGCAAGGCTCAAGACGGCCCGCGATACGGCTCCAGATAGCCAGAGATCTTCCAAGACCCAAAGCGCCACCGCGCCCTGAGGCACGGAGCGGGCGTGTTCCGACGTCATCTACCTCACTCTTGAGCCTCAGTCCTCTGTCTTCAGAATTCTCTGAAGGACCTGGGGCCCAAACTCAGAAATCTTCTGGGCCCCCCCGCGCCTTTCCGCATGATTCGTGGGGGGCAATTTTGCTATCCCTCTGGGTGCGAAAATCCCCCCCCACCCCACCCCCCCCACACCCACCCACCCAAAGAGGCCCCGAGAGGCAACAAGGGCCCCCAAGAGGGCCCGCAAGAGGCCCCAAAGAAGCCGCAAGAGCTCTCAAGAGTCCTCCGAAGAAGGCCCCGAGAGGCCAACATCGGAGTGAGGAGGGGGTTCCGCCCGCGCGAATGCGTTTCAAGTCGCGCGCGCGTTTGTTGCTCTGGGGTCGGCAAGTCGCTCCGTCATTTCTTTGTTCTTCCGG